TGTGACGATGTCAAATACAGCATTTGAGTCACCGCCGTTGAACTTATCTAACATTTGGCGACACCAATCCATGCATGGGAAATCCATCTGGTACAAAGCTTCCTGACGCCTAAATGTTCGTGTAATATTTTTTTGTACTTGACTCATACCAATGCCTAGGCTTGCCCGTATCTGCTAATAGGTCATGCTCTTATCTTCCTCTATCATGCGTTGCACAGCACTGAAGCTATCTTAAGTAGTCGCTGTTAAAGGACGCTACGTCCGTACGTGCTACGCCCACGCTTAAACTCATTAAACCAAATGTAAATAGTGGCACGAGATGGGGCTTCATTAAGAAATGCTAATCGCAGCCTATCATAGCTTTGTTGTTGAGTAAGTCCCCAACAAAAGTCATAATAAATCATTGACCAAAAATTATCTCGCGTTAGATTCATTTTCACGTGTAACAGAGTTTTTGCCGCCAATTCACAAAAACAAATGTATGCAATATACTAGATAAGGTTACCAAAGAGTTCTAAAATTGAAATTTAAAAAAAAAAAAAGATCTCACTGACCTTTTCCTCTGAAGTCTTTCCTTTTCATGAAAAAGTCTTGGTATCTCTGGCATAAAGTTCTGGGAGAGAGATCTAAATAGCTCCTTCTCGATCTTGCTTGTAGCTTTGCTGAACTTTTGTGTTAGGTTCGTCCAATCCTCTTCTGTAAAGCAAACAACTTGCCACACCCTTTCCGTCTCATCCTCATTCCACTCATTGCCATGTAGCCACCCCCTCTTCTTATCTTTGTTCTTTTTTTTCTTCTTTGCCTTAGGTTTTCTGATTATATCCTCCCTATATAATCTAGTGCCATAGAAATACCAGTAAGCAGAGTCATTGTCATCCCATCTGTAAAAGTTATAAGTTCTCTTTAATTGAGCAAACTTTAATTAGAACAGTCAATAACACAACTCTTGTTCAATTTTACTTTTGTAATAGTTCCTAAACATATTACACAGACGAGACATGAATTTTGAATCCTGTATCTTAAAAACATCCAATTTCACATATGGTGCCACATAAGCACTAAGTCTCAATTAAAAATATTATGTTCAGCTCTTAAGTCATCAATCATTTAAAGTAAAGTAATTTTAGGACTTGATGTGGACAAATTCAGTTTTAGTTTAACTTACCCTAGAGGTTCTACTCTCAAACTCTCTGCTTCAAGATTTTTAAACAAATCAAACACATCTTCAGCATCCAATCGAAAGTCACATAATGCATATAGGATTTCTACTTTTCTTCTGAGGGGAAGAAATTGAAAATCAATATCAGTATTGAAGGGGTTGTATCTGCCTGACTCTTGACATTTTTGTCGAAAGAGACGTCTTAAATACATCTGTAATAAATAGCATTAGAATCAAAACTTAAGAATATGAATATTACAAAATAAGAGTTTCAAAAGAATATTCACTTGATAATTAAAGGCTGAGATGTCATTGTTACCAAGACAACCATTTAGAAGTCGTACAATCAATTCTGTGAGCAAAGAACTGCCAGAGTCCTCAGTACCATCGGTCAGGAGAGCCTCCTCAAGTTCCTAAAAATATATATAAAATTGTTATTCCCGAACTGTAGAAATATAAATCAAGTTAATTAAATTATGTAGATACTCACTTCAATGTCAAAATCGAGAAGATTGAAAGCAGTTCGAAATAATGAACAGAAATACGCAATGCTTGGTACTTCCCACCATGATTGTATATCAAGGAACCGTGAGAAATTCATTCAGGGATGTTGTACAAAGAAAAACACAAACTGATCCTTCGTTTTTACTGGAATTCACTAAACACTTATTAAAAAATTGTTAACATAACCTTAAACCACTACGCCCTTACAGTTAAACAGAGGAATTTACACGAAATGGACTTCCATTCTAGGTTTTTGTCTAAGTAAATATCAATGAATATAATGATAAGTTATTAATTTTAGACGGAACGTATAATATGCGTTGTGTATTGGAGATCACAAACGCCATAACAGTTTACAAGTTATTCAACCGCAGTACTTTCGGCTGTTTAAAGATAATATCCGTTCTTGAATTACATTAACTTCTTTTATTAACTTGTAATAATTACAAAAAATATTTATTATTAATATTGTAAGCACATACTTTGAGTCAAAGTTTTATAAAATTTTGAAAAACAGAAAATGATTTTCCAGCAACCGGAAATCTTAAAATATAAAAAAAATTCAATTCGGTAATGGTTTGCTTATGCTTCACCTTCTAGTCTGTAGTTTACGGTTATCCGCAGATTGAATATATAACTGTAGAAAAAATATTACTTAATTATGGTTATATGAATATAACCATAATTAAATTGAATTTCTGAAGAAACGAGACTTAGTTCTAAGTTAGGGATGATCGATATTGACATCAATGTCATATTCGAAAGCCTAACATCGATATTCGATATTTATCGAAATCCGAAAGAAAATGATTTTTGCATTAATAATTGACCAAGAAATAAAATACAGTGAAATGGTTCGAAATTTATTAAGAAACAGAACAAATGATTCCATATTTCGATATTTTTGTCAACTGACTGAATGAAAAGTAATTTTGATAAAGAAGAACCTTTTAATCTATTTCTTTGTTGATTAAGAGTAGTGAGTAAGTGTGAGAGAGAAAGAGCGAGTGAGACTACGAAGATAGGACGAAGGGCCTGGGCGCAAGGAGTGAATACGCGTTCAAAATTTTAATAAACCGGATTGGTGAATGCGTTCATAGAAAATATAATTTGTTTCTTAAGTTGCATTTGTCGTGTGGGAGGCCGCGAATTAACATCGATGTTACGATATTTTTCGTATAGCAACATCGATGTTTTTGCTTTCAACATCGATGATCATCGAGCATCCCTTCTATCTAAAAGATAGGTTTCTAAAAAAACTACTTAAAATCATTGTTTTTATTTTGGATAAACGAAGCTATGGAAATATTTTTGGAAAAATTCAAATTAATATTTAAATAAAATTAAAAACATTGAATAAACTTGCTCTACTCAAAAGCCGACACTTGCACAAAGCTCGATATCGTCACGAAACACGTCACATGTTTATTTACTATAGCCGTATCATTATATTTTAATACAATATATAATTTCGATTGCTATATGGATCATGTAAGATTGTTTAGGGATGTTTGCTTCAGGGTTGATTGCTTCAGAATGATTTGGTCGATGTTAAAATAAAACTCCCTAATTGTTGGTAGAGAAGAGGTGAAGATGGAATAATGAATGATTTTATTTACAAAACTGTGTACATTTATACCTAAAAATTATCCTACACTTACAACTAATATTGACATGTGGTGCCAAGATGCGGAGCGTTGGTTGGTTGCGCACGTACCAGGGTAGGCGATAAAAACGCGGCGCGGCAAAAAGTTGGCCTTTTTCTGCACGCAGCCGTCGAAGCGTACGAACGTGTTCTTCTCAGAACACTTGGGTATCGTAGCCTTACGATAACGCTAATAACTGTTCTTTTCAGAACAAATTATTGTATCACGACAAAACGTCTAAGAACTGTCCTTTTCAGGACATATTATTCTTGTTTCTCGACGAAAACGTTTGACAACTGTCCTTGTCAGGGCATATTACCGTGTCTTACGACACGATGAAACTGTTATTTTCAGAACACACGACCGTATCTATTCTGGGCTCTCTTAAGTTGGCGGGGGGGAAATTAATTTTTTGCACTTTTTTTTAGCTCTATCAACTGTTCTTCATTGTTCTATCAAAAAATTTAATTATAAAAAAATTGACCCTCAATTTGGCACGAACTATAGATATTTTTTTTTTCTAATAGTTTAGAACTAATCAATAACTGTTCGTTCAAAATAAACAACTGTTCGGCTTTCATTATCCTGTAATTTAATAATAATTAACTTTTTTTATAAATCTTAATTAAATGTTATTGCGCATTGATTATCGCTCTCGTGAAAATTCATATTAATTAATAGTTTCTCGATTTTAACCATGACGTGGATATATGTATGGAGTATGAAGAGATAATAAACAAAATACTCCACTTTATACATAAGTATTATTTAAAAAAATTATTGTTTTATTTCACTAAAAGTGATTGATTACAGTTGATAAAGCCAACTTAAGAATCATTCTATTCTGATATGTTCTTGTCAGAACACATTCACACTGTTTCATTACGACACGTTAATCAATCACCTACAATTGTAAAAATCCTTGTTACAAGTATTGAATTGCACCGAAGTGGATAATTAATTGATTTAGATAATTCTTTATATAGATTTATAATATATTTACAACTATTATACATATTATATTACAAACCAAAAGGTTCAAGTGTTATAATCTATGTTATGGAATAAAATTTATCCTGTAACATAATAGTACGTAATTGTCTTAAAATAGTCTGTGCAGTGATGTTTTTTTAACTGTGGAATAGTGCTCTCATCTGGTTCTAAATCCCTAAGTAGTGCCAAAATATGTATTAAATTTTCTATTTTTAGGGAATGAATAATTAAATATTGCACGAAATGAATGATTTTACCGAATAGTGGTAAAATTTATAAAATAAATATTTAATTGTGCGAACAGTTTTTGACAATTTAATTTATACGGCACTAAATGGGAGTAACCCAACCGAACCTATAAAAAGGTATGTACCTCATAAGCATAACAATTAATATAAATTGTAAATGATAAGGACTTATGCGGTCTTTAGTGCCTTACTCATGTTTCCGTTGTTATATTATCAATTTCCACTAGGCACATACTCAGAGTTCACTATTAGTCGACTAATTAAACAATTGTTATCATTTAATTAGTACATATATATATCGTTAAATTGCTTATCAGTTAGCAAGCAATTAATGTCAATGTTCAAGTCTGTATCTTTTCAGAACAAACTATAAGATGGTTGTGACGAAGCAATCGAGTAATTTAGCAGATTATTTTGTTTAAGTTATCAAACTATGCAGAAAAAGCAGAGATGCCCAGGGACATTTTAAGTGACAGTCTGGCAGTGCTGCGGATTGTGGAGGTACTTTAAAGTTGGTTTTTCAAATTAAAATACTCAATTAATTTTAGGCATTTTGCAAAGGTTATTTTTGTGAAACACAAAGTATTTATTGTAAATGCAATCTGTAGGAATGTATAACTGTAAAGAACATCTTTACAATTTAAGTTTTCATTGTTATATTTTAAAGGCTTAGGGTAAGACAGTAAAAATTGTTTTTTTATACTTTCAAAAGTTTTATGAAACTATTTCAAAGGTTTAATATTTATTGTTAATTGTATGTTCGACAGAAATTTAGTTTTTATTACATTTTTAACAATTGTATATACATTACTATGTTTATTTTCGGTAAATATTCCGTATCGCGGCACCAGCGATTTTGAGGCTGATTTTTTATAAAAAAAAATTCAATTTATTTAAAAAAAATATTAATATACTAACCTAACCTAACCGAACAATATTAATAATAAGTTTTTTGGACAGCTATGTGAAATACAGCCAATGCAAATGAAAAAAGGTTATGCGCCATCATAACAACACTACTTATGGTGCTGAGAACCGATGACACATGACATAAAAAAAAAATCAGCCTTGAGGCTGATTTTTTTAGGCTGGGGAGGATGTTGACATCAGCCCCAAATTCGCTGGTGCCGCGATACGGAATATTTACCTTATTTTCTTATACACAATAAATGTATTCATATGTAAATGTGGTATGATACAGTTCTTATTCTATATATCTCTGCATTTGCGAAGTCACTTCTAGTAAAATACTGAAATATGTGTTGACTGAAAATCAGCTTAGATGTTACTTTCTCTTGAGTGATATTATCTGATAAGAAAAACAGAAAGAAGCTATGCTATGTGTAACTTTAAGTTGGAATGGAAAACATTATTATTCAAGCTTATTACAATATATCAGTTATAGTTTTGCAAAAGCGAATTTTTTGCTACCTGTAAAATATTAAAATTCTGCTGTCAGCTAAAATGTTTATTTTTCTATATCAACCTTGGAATGTGTGTTGATACATAGGCAATAAATCTGTGTTAAATTACAATAACTAAGGTAGATGTATTGATTTGGTAATGTGTACATACATTTGACATTTGATCCTTACATATTTTAAACATCAGCATTTCTGTTGCATAATAAATATCTCAAATGTGATTTATTATGGTGGGATATTAGACATGTTCTTTCAAATCTCCTCTCTCAAATATATGAATATATCTGCAATTTTTAAGAGAAATGTAATTCATTACAATTATTTAAATAATAATTATAAAATTATATAAACTATAGTTTTACCACCTCAAATTGTGTGTGCAGTGTGTAGATTATAATCAGCAATATTTATATTTTTTTATTAATTATATTGTTTTAGCATGAAGATGAAGAAAGCTGGCCACTTGAGGAAAAGCCTGCTTGTAAACAAAGCACAGCTAAGAAGACGGTAAATGGTTCAAAATCTGCAAATGATGATTGTGCCTGTTATTATAATTATGGGTGAGCTCATTGATTCGTTTTTTTAAGCCAGTTAGTTATAGTTTAATCTTGGTAGGTAAATACACAAGTATATAATGGTATTTATCATACATTTTTAAAAATTTATTAATAAATTAAATTAACAAAAATATGTTGTCTTGTTTTACCTACAACAACAGTTTGCAGATAATATTTTAACATAAGGGTTTGAAGCCCATCTGTCTAACGGAAAATAATAGTTTGAAACATAAATTCGTTAATTTCAGTCTTCGCGATTCAGTTGCAAGTCGGCAAAACGATCCACTATACCAATATAAAACCAGCAGTCTCCCCGCAGCAGCAACTATTAGCCATTGGGATAACTTGGTCTGCTCAGCTATGCAGCTATCGCCAGAAGATATAGCCAATCAGCTCTCTATACATGACTTGGTTTGTTTCAAGGCTATACGTCCTGAAGAACTGATAACGTGCGGCTGGATGAAATCGAATAAAGCCGTTGTCGCACCAAATGTTGTTGCCTTTACTAAACGTTTTAATAGGGTGAGTTTTAATTATTTTCCCCCTGCTATACTTAAGAAACCTACTCAAATTGAATGTTGTTCGCCATTTGCATTTTGCTTAAAAGCCGGACGTTTCTTCAAATCCTCAAATGTCCTTTAGTAATCTACTATCACTTCGGGCCATAATAGGACCATAATCTTAGTACTGAATACCAGTATAGTTGATACTATAATTTGTGTATGAATGTCTCTATTTTACTAACATTTTAGATACAATGATTCTTAATGCTTAATATTTTTCACACACAGGTAAGTTTTTGGACCGTTCAAGAAATCCTAAATGGTCAAGCGCCGAAAGCGCGTGCTGAGACGTTGGCTCACTTCATTAAAGTTGCTAAGAAACTCTACGATCTGAACAATCTACATTCGCTCTTCGCTGTCATATCAGCTTTACACAGCGCTAGTATATACAGGTGAGAATAAATGTATGTGGTTTACAGATTTCAGACTTGTGCCTTAAGAACTGAATGATTTTTGTTCTAAACTAACACAAAATCAAAACATTTCGTTCATCAGAATTAAAGAAACTTCAAAATCATTTATTAATTTAGGTAACACAATGTACACTTATGAATAGTCAATAAAGAAATTCATATTAAATAGTAAACTCCTCTAATTTTACATTTACTGCCAGTTCTCAAATCAAAGTCGTAGCGGACATGAAGAACTGTCAATAAACTCTCCGCTACTCTTTTTAATCGCCAAGTTTTTTGTTTTAATAAATATTTGTAAGGAGCTGCAACCATTACACCATGTTCCACGTGTTATGTTTAAGTAATTAACTATAGGTACTAATAAAAAAAATATGAACGAAAAAAAAAATTGTACTCTATCAGTAGTTGGCATGGTGAAATAGGAGCAAGCACTTAAATTCACGTGGGAACACGCAAATACATACATACAGACGAAATAATTAACATCACCGCGTACACGAATTCAAGTCCGACCAGTCACCACAAGTAGCACCCGTTCACAAGTATGATGCAAGGCCAGCTGTAGGCTCCCCTCGACACATTTTAGGGAGAGAGACATCCAGTCGGATGGTTCGCATCATATTTTAAATTTATTCCGACGTAAGGTGTATTTTAAAAAATGTTACTTATTTTGAGAATATACTATACATTTAAGTAACTTATTTATTACTTACTTATTTATACTTAAATTTGTTATTCCTGTCGGTAATTATAGAATCTTTTTTTCTTTTAATAGTTTCTTTATTCATTTATATACATGCAAAATGAATGGTTATCTTATTAAAATAAAAAAATAAATCAGTGGCGCTACAACTTCTTTAGGTCTTGGCCTCAGTTTTCTGTACCTGTTTCATGATCATTTTTAAATAGGCAAGTAGGTGATCAGCCTCCAGTGCCTGACACATGCTGTCGACTTTTTGCGTCAAAGAAATGTCGGTTTCCTCACGATGTTTTCTTTCACCGTTCGAGCAAATGTTAAATGCGCACATAGAAAAAAAGTCCATTGGTGCACAGCCGGCGATCGAACCTACGACCTCAGGTTTGAGAGTCGCACGCGGAAGCCAATAGGCCAACACTGCTCTTTGTGTTATCTTATTATCGAATTTTAAGGTTGACAAAAACGTGGTCCTGCCTATCGAAAAAAGACAGGCAGCAATTCGATCGTATGGCCGAGCTATTTGGCGAAAAGGACAACTGGACGGCCCTACGAAAATACATGCACTCGATACGACTTCCCTGTATTCCTCATCTTGGTAAGATTTCAACATTTGTATTTTGCCAAGACGTATTAGTCTGAATTAGAAATGTAATTTGGCATCTTTGAAAAGAAAACAGTTTCAATATCAGTGGCGCAGAATGAGAAATCATGGTTTTGTGAGATATAAAAATATTATATTGCGAAAAAATCGAAAATAATGTCGCTTTGTTTAAATGTTTTGATAGCAACCCCGGGAGCGAATGTACACCTACAATTTAATAATAATTGTTTAGTGGAGCTAAATCCTCTGTGGCGCTTAGCCTTACCTTGTATTAGTTTTTTATTGTAGACAAGAATTTAACTAGCCTTGTGCTTGGCACATCGTCGGTTTTTACCATAGATCATAGAAAGGAATATCATTTGAGGCACGGGCTTTGAACCTGAGAGTTGAGATTCGTAACCTTAAACTACTCCTCATAGACAGAATTTACCATTTTATGATAAATAAATAAAAAATAAAAATAGCATTTATTCGAGTACCATATAAAGTCCATGTCATTATGTTTAAATTTAGTACTCCACCTCCGATGGAGTGAAGGCCTCTTCCAATTTTTTTTTGTCTCTCATCCTCGCCACAATTTTTCAATCCTTCCCCGCTATCCCTTTTATTCCATCTTGCCAGGTTTCTGGTGGGCGTCCCCGTTTTTTTGATATTAGTTTACCTATTATTTGTTTTATGATATTAGTGCTTATTGTGCACTACTTTCAACATATTTGACCATTTATGCAAGCCCTCTGGGATATTGTACTCCTTAAACTAAAAATTAATTCAATAACGTTATTTTTATATGGGGAAACCCGTAAGTTTCAATTTACGGAAGCGATAAGCGTTGGCGATACATATGTTGGCACATTTCATTTTCTTACATTAACGTTACTGTAATTCATAATAGAATTTAAATAGTTTTTTAAATAGATCCTAAAGTGCTGAAGCCTAGACGTTGTATATTTTTACCAACCAATTATACTCAAAATTTATAACAGTAAAAAAAAAATCTTAATTCACAAAATATTCTTGAGACTTCGTATGTTCTTAGTAATTCGTATATTAGAGACACAACTTGGAGAATTAAGTATTAATGTAGTGAAGAGTTAGATAGTATTATGTATTATTTCAAAATACGGCAATTGTAGATTTAAAAGGGGGCTTTGTTTAGATTGATTTTCAACATTGAGCAAACGCTGACTCGGCTTCTGCGGTTGTCCTACTTTTATAGCTGATACACCAACAGCTCACGAGAATAATATTGTATAAGTGTGAATATGTGAAAGTAGTAAATAAAGTGTAGTTTTTATACAATAAATCAGATTTGAATATTGCTTTGAACTTTGATCCTACCCATATGTTACCCTTAGTGCAGACATTCCATTTACATTTATATAATCACTACTTAGGGCTTATGGGTCTGTAGGGTTTTTAGTTCTCACCATCATATGTATTTAATTACACACTATATTTACTAGAAAAATACTCGTGACACTTATGTATATATAATAAATATAAATACACATTTTACATCAAACTAGCTAGCAAGCTGCTCAGGAATTAATGCTTAAAATAAATAACTTCCTCTTTATTAAGTTTTGAGTTTTTATTTATTTATTTGAGAAAACATAAGACAAATACAATCTACTATTCCAGGTATATTCCTCACAGATTTAGTATATATCGACATGGCTCATCCCCTCCACTTGGGTTCCCCTCACCGAGAAACCAAAATGGGGGTTGTCCTTGAAACAGTGCAGAGGTATCAGACATCGGAATATGACATAAAGCCGGTGCCACACGTGGCAAACTTTCTTAACAGTGTTCGCTATATTGAGGAGTTACAAAAGTTCTTAGAGGATGACCAATATAAGTGAGTATTTAACATATTTCATAAAGGAAATTTACTGTATTTCGAAATAATATATACATTTTTAAAAGCTCTCGAAATACTCGAATCTTAATTAGAAGACGCCAGGATAAGATAGATTTCTATATATGTGAAAATTGGGAAAAACTAATCATTTAAATAATTTCGACGTCGTCGGGTTTGATTTTTCTAACGCCCTTCATCGGAGGTTTATTATTATTTAATACATCTTAAAAGTCCGTTGGTTCAGGCAACATGTAAATTTTCAGATTGTCCTTAAAACTGGAACCGCCCTCTCCCGTCGGAAGTTGCTCTGGCTCGAAAGAGTCCGTTAAAGAAGTTTCAGCCCAGGGGACAAAGCCATTCACGCTGTCCCCGTCTCATAGACTTGGATCAGGATCCCTGAGAATACAGGGGACGTACAACCAAGGAAAATTTGTTCCAACGCATAGGAAAAGCCGATCTCTTGGATCTAAGTAAGTTTACTTTACACAAAGATTGTTTTTTAAAAAAAAAATTGTCGTTTATTAATGTATTCAAATTTATTTAGAATATAAATAACAACTATTTATTTACGAACCAATACGACTTAGGGTCTTTCATAAAAAAAGCATACCAATTCTTAAAAGGCCGGCAACGTACTCGCAAGTCGGTATTACTTAACATCAGATGAGTCACCTGCCGCCTGTTCAATAAAAAAAGCAACTATTTATATATATAGTGTACTGTGCAGAGATAACAGACACCTCAGTAAGAAAAGATACTAGTGCGCCTGCGACGGCGTCGACTGTACTTAAGGTACATGTATTGGGTAAATTTTATATCTGTTTATCTAACATTACAGGGCGGATCATTATTAAGCGAGTTTTTTCTAGATTAATGTGCAAGGTACATTTTTATGTTTCACAGATAATTTCATAGACTGATTTGTCAGCTGTCTTTTAATTTGAGTGCGTAATCAATTGAACTACTGGCTAAGGAGAAAATATGTGCTTTTGTATATATTTGTTTTCGATATAGGCATAATGTCTTTGGACAATTTTTGTATAGCGATATTGTTTTATGCCGCCCAGTCCCGTCAATTTCGTTTATCTAATCGAAGGGTAAGAATTTAAAACTGCTATGTCTCCTATCACATACAACTGTTTTCATATCATTATGTGTGGTAGTATGTGTAATAATGTGTTTCTATATTGACTACTTTTCCGAAGCCAAATATGTCTTAAAATTTTAATGTTAGCTACAGTGTTCAAACTTAAAATATTTTAATACTTTTTAAAATATATATTTGCAATAAGATATGTTTGGCCAATATGTTTTGTTCTTCGGGAGATTTACATAGAGAATTAATGTGTTCGAGGTATAAAGAGTGGTTTTTAAAATATGCATGAATCAAGCGTAATACTTACTTTGTAAAATAGCATTTTACATAATAAAATAGCTATGTTAAAGTGAATCACACTTCTAGTGTGTGTTTGAAAACTAACTCTTTATACGTCCAGTGTAACATACCCGAGACATAATCATAGTATTGTTGTATGAAAAATGTAGTACTAACGGTCACTTTTCCCAACAGGTTTCCTAATTTATATAAAATGTTATGTGTTATGTGGTGTATATGTTTATATTTGATACTTACGTATAAATATATTTTCGTGATATGTATATGAACTTCAGTCCAAGAAAGTGACAACCTTCGAAGTGGTAATATTTCTTCACAATCGATGGTCTACTAAGAAGTGCATAAAAGTTAAAGTAATAACTTAATTGTTTTTTCCAATATCGGTGAATTTATCTTCATCTACCAAACCACTTTAAATAAGACTTGATTTCAAAATTATAATTATATGTTTTTATATTAGTAATCAGAAAACCTGACGGGCAAAATCATGACTGTATTGGTTTTTAAAATTCAAATATGTCTAAAAAATATTAACACGACAACTATCGAATAGGTTTCGAAGCGCGAGTTTGCCAAGAAATTTTCACAAGGTCAATTTTGGTGTTGGGTGAGTCGACTATAGTATTCGCCTGTGCATTGTTGTCATTAAAGAAGTGATAAGTGCCCTCATTTTACTGTAAGCGGTTGTGTGATGAGCATTATTATTATAGAAATACGTAATATTATACAAATTAAACTAGGTGTATTATTTTATTTCTTGTAAATTGTATATTATTTAATTCTTGCTATGCGTATTACTAAAAACTTAGATGATGTTACGAAAATAGTATTTTATTTTAAAAGATGTATTTTTATTGTTCTTATTATTTACTAGCAATCATGAAAATGCAAATAAGGAAATAATTCGAATGCTGTATGATAATTTCATTAAATTATTAAGGGTGTAAAATTTCCTAGTATAGTATACGAGTATATAAGTCCTACACAGCATATAGCTGCAATTTTCAGAACTTCCTTTTAACTAAAGTATATCTCTTTTCATCACAACGTAAATACAATTTGTTAGAAAGGGATGAAAGAAAAAATGAGAATAGGAACCACTTATTTTCAAATACTTTTGTTAAAAAGTTCAATTGGCCCAATTTAGTTTTTATGAACAAGGGTATTAGTATGTATGTTTTGAAGTTTTCAAAAGGACCGTGTTGGACGCATCTAGAATCAAAAGTGCCGTTTATGTAATATTTTACTGAACGTGAATTGAAATAATTTATCTGTTTTATGCTGTAGTAATTTTTGTCATTGTCTTTGTCACACAACGGATTTTAGTTGGCACTCTATCACTCTTTAATAAAATTAGCATGCTTCTAGTCTGTGAGCAGAATGGGATTGTCTTTTTTGAGTAGTTAGGCGCTTTTTATTTTAGAATAATATCGATTTGAGGTTTAGCTTTTTATATTAGGACATGATTGGCTACACGGGGGTTTGCGAGAAACGGCACATACAATAATGGTATACATATACCGTTATTGCTATTTGCGTGATGCATAATATATATTATATTGCTTTTAGAGCTTTTATAGTTAAATCAAAAGTATTTGAACACATTTTAGTAAATTTTAATAAAGTACTAGGATTAAGTGAATACCAGCATAGACATTTCTTAAAGTTATTAATTTGAATAATATGGTTATGTCTTGAAATATTCCATAATTCAAATGCATGCATCACTTTCAAGCATCTGTTTTGCATTCGTTTTAATAAGCTAATTTGAGCTATTTCCACACTAATATTAGAATCGGTTCACTTTTCTTGAACAGGACAGAGACAGGCTGACTGGGCTTGATGTAAAATTTCTTAGCTCCATTCGAAACGGTCTTGTGTTTGTTATATTTTATTTGTATTGAATAACCTAAAATACTACTGGATCGATTTCAAAGATAGTTTTCCATAATAATGCTTCATTGATATTTGTTTCCATGCGGTTTAAATCATTGAAATTTCTACTGAGAATCATTTTTCAAATTCGTTTTCATGTGTACTAGCCGCTCCATTCCCTTATTTAAATATCTGTAGTGTAATTGTAAGATATTTGCAGTTTTCTGCGATTTTAGCAAATCATGCACAATAAAATTGCGTTTCACGCTATTACGAAATATTTGCTATTCAGTACCTATCTAATCGCAAAAGATACATATTTTTGGTTTGTTTCAGGTTTATTTCCATTTTTTTATCAATTAAATATTTATATTACTTATATACCTATTACTTATGATAGTTTAGACAATTATATTATATTACTAAGCAGAAGTTAAATAATATATATTTGCAGCATATTCGGCAAGGGACAACACGAAGATAAGGATGGGAAAACGCCGGCTGGATCGGTTAATTTACTGGATGACACATTATTAGAATCTCCGAGCTCTGTTGTTGCTAAAATATCGGAGTCTTTGCCATTTAGGTTAGTTTTAATTAAGTATAACCAGCATATGCTTGTCATTTATACGACGAAACGTCTAATAAACAGGATATCAGATATAAATAAATAAATCAACGGCGCTACAACCTTTACAGATCTCGGATGTAAAGGCCTCAGATTTCTGTATCTGTTTCATGATCATTTTTCATTAAAAGTTTATGATTAATAAAAAAGAGTAAGTGTAATAAATAACAACACAACAAACTGGACCACAAGGTTGTCAGATTTATGGGCTGAAAAGTTCGTAGGCTAACATAGAAAAAATAGTTTTTTTTAAACATTTTGATTTGATTATTCAATATAGAAAAAAACATTGTTTAAGGAAAGACTGGCATTTTAACTTTTTTAAATATAGTAGAAACAGGCATACTGTAAGGTTTAGGGACTGCAATTTTGAACATTACAATCGTTTTTAGTGATCCGTCAACATCAGAGCCATTTGGCTGCGATTTCCAAAGCTACGTACGACGCAAAACGTTATTAAAAGAGGGAAGGAAGATATCTCTGTCCTCTTGGCAAAGATATTGGCTGCAAATCACGGCTAATATACTAATATTCTACGCGTCTAAGTCGTTTAAAGGGTAAATATCAGTTCATGTTATATTTTAGTTATGTTTAGAATATAAGAAACATATACAATAAGTAATAATGATTAAATACTATTTAGTAAGTTCAATATATTGATCAATAGACCAGTGCAGATAGCCTTCAAAATAAATAAAAAGTGAAAAAAATTACAATAGGATGAAACCCATTAGAAAAGCAGGGGAATATGATCAAAATGAAAGGAAAAATAAATTACGGTCGATCTGAGGTCGGGACGGGGGGGGGGGAGTTTTAAGGGTAAAAAACGGTTTATCTCGATTTCCGGCAAAACTAAAAGTCCTATCGAAGAAAGTTAAATGGCAAAGTTGTAGGTAATAAAAAGATCTAAAACTCTTGTATTCACACATTTTTCACATAACCTCAAAATTTATGTGAAAAATTCAAAAAACCAAGTTTTTGGTTTTTAATTTTTATCTTTTACAAATTTCTTTTTTTTTTAACGAAATTTGGTGAAAACTTACCTTAATATGTCCCAAATATACTGTAATTTATTTGATTAAAAATATTTAATCAAACCCTTTACCTTCCCGACCTCAGATCGACCGTAATTTATTTTTCCTTTCATTTTGATCATATTCCCTTGCTTTTCTAATGGGTTTCATCCAACTGTAATTTTTTTTGGTTTCAAAAATTATCGGCACTGGTCTACAAATACATCAGATTTTTTTTTCCATTTGATGAGTCCCTCACTGACCATGATAATGGAAAAGAACTCTATCATTTCAACGTGTAAAGAATTTCTATTTTTATGTTTTAGAACGTGTCGCACGGATTTTAGTAAGGATAAATGTAAAGTGTTAACCCTTCACGCGGGATGGAGGGCAATGTGGCTGGAAGGTGATGCCAGCGATGGGTTTCAACTCCTCGATAGGAATGCCCATACAATATACAAGTTCAAGTAAGTTCCAGGTTTAAATTCTAAGTTAGCAATCATGTGTTATAGTATTTATTGTTAATCAATAACTGGGGAAAAAATTTATTTATGCAAATGTTTTCACAAATTGAAAACTTCAAAATTATACGTTGATTACTGAAAATCGAGAAAAATATCTTAACATTGGGAATATTAGTGTTTCACACACTCGGTCATACATTTTTTAGAGCTAGAAAACACGCGATTTCTATAATCTAAATACGAATTTATATAACCTATGCCATATTTAAATTTTACGACTTTTTAGATTTCTACATAAAACATTATAATAATTGTATCTACCTTCATTTTATAAAAAGGTTCACGAAACAGGTCTAAGGTATTTTTTTTGTAAACAGTTGTGCTATATACTAATTTAATATTTCTCGTCACAGGACTGGTTCTGAAGCGACAGCGAAACAATGGGTATCTCGAATAAATAATGTAACGGACAAAATGGTCCAGCCTTTACCTGCGAATCTTATGTCATTTGAATAGCATACGTACTACTTTAGTGCTTTATAGGCATGTAGGCTTTGATAATATTGCCTTAAAACAATTTATTTTATACGACGGGTTTAAAGGTGCTTTTTAAAATGCAAATTACAAAAAACCTTTTTATTTTACCAGAACGATTCATCGGTATTTTTATCAAAGTGACGGAAGAGTTAAATCCTTTAATTTGAATGTTTTCATTAGACAGCTGCTTATTACAGGTTCGACAGCAATATTCACGACTGACTGTATTTAGTCATGAGATCAATTTTCTTTTACGTTTAGATTTTGGAATATTTCAGCTAGATTTAGAGTTTATATAAGCTATGAGGCTTAGTTAGGTTACGTAATCTCAGTTTGATATTTTATTGAATATGTGGGATGTAAGCTATGTTTGCACTGACAAGGTTAATTATTGCTAACACAAAGGATAAAAAGAGCAGTCCAGCACAGTGGAATAATAGAGGATCTGTTGCGCAATGGTTCATCTTTATATTTGCTTGGATTTCGTGATTTAAGTAACTACCTATGAGTATGAATAGTTTGTGTGACGCAAAGTGTATATGCAGCCCTGTCAGCGTGAACCTAACTACTTTATTTTTAAGAATGATATCTAGTTCCGACTAAATGCGTTATCTCATATTAACGACTGAGTGTGTGATTTTTGTAATTGCTTTATTTTGATGTTCTTGCCAAGGAAATTTAGAGTAAGTAAAAATACGTTTTCACTGCAGTCGAGGAAAAAAATAGGCTGAAACCCAGGCAACTAAGCAAATTTTTACTGTAGGACACGACATAACTAACAAATAACTTAGTTTATTTTTTATATTTACATAAACAATAGTAAAACATTACTACTATTAAAAAGCAATGCATATTCATTAAAACATTTTCTATCATATTTTAAAGATAGATGGCATTGTTGTCAATACTGTTTTAAAAGCCTTAATAATTTTGAATGGAATAAAATTCGCAAGACAAGCATAGTCTGGTGCCTTCGGCAGTTTATAAGACGTTACCGAATTTTTATTTTATTTTAAGTCAGTAGCTTAGATTTTGTTTATTTATGTTAAAAGCACACTTTCAATAATACGGGCAGACTAAAATGTAAACCATTTACTTGTGCTTCAACTGATCAAAAATATTTGTGGTAGTAAGTCAACACCGTATTATTGAAAATGCACTGGTGGCAACGCTTTCAAAGATAAGAAAAACATGCGTCCGTTTTAAACAAATGTAAACCTGCCATTTAGTTGAGATTGCACATATGTTGTAACAATAAATGTGTTTTATTGTTACATAAATGTGGTTCAAGAAGGTCATAATTGGATTAAAACACGCTCTATAAGTCTCAGGAATGTTCTCTAATCTCATTTCATTCAAAGATAAAATAAAAATGTTTATAGGTAAAAAGGTGACCACTTAATTAAATGAAGGTAAGTCAATATTAGTAATTAAATATGTGAACTATATAACGATCGGGCTTATCTTAGTATAGCACGACTTGTTTAGTGTCGAAATTTTATCATTGAAAGCGTACATCGATGCACTTGATTATTTTTATTTTGTTACGTTAATGTTTATTGTGCTAAGACTTTTCTATTAAGTTAAATTTATATTTTTGTATCTCTTTGTAATAAGAGAAAATTTGTGTTTAATTTAATAGAAATCAATACTCATGAATAAATCGTGTATTTTTGTACCGATTCTTTGTTTTATTACCTTTATTTTAATTTTATTTAAGCTTTGCATGGTGGATGTGTTAGCCACTTTCATTATTTCCGCTTACATATTAGTTTTATTCAGTTTCTTCAGATTATGAAATAACAGTAGGTTCTTAAAGATTCCAGACCGCAGACGTAGTAGTGTTTTCATTAGTAAATTACACGTTTTAGGTGTTAGGATACTGTTTATATACTTCCTCATATTCTGGGCCGATGGCTAATATGATAATATTTCTGTTCTCACTCAGAAACTACATACGGCTACAAACAGTACGATTACATCATACCCCGAATACCCCTTAGCCCCTGGGGCCTTCTAGGTAGTGGTGAGTTAGGTCGAGGGAAGCTAATAACCTTCACATCCTTCTTCCACACTTATAGCACCATAGGCTCAAGACAGCACATTTACATACATTCAAAGTAGTGTAGTTAACACATATTAACACTGTTTCGTATATATAAATCTCTTCTGTGTGAGGTTTGACAGATATGAACAGAGACCTTGTCCAATAGTGCGCATCCGCAAACAGCTTTGGCGTTTATCGGATGTCGTAATCGGTAGATTTGAATTTTAACCTGATTGTCGTGAAGCAATCGTACTAATAAAACAAAAATTTAATCTTTATAACATCGTATCTAAGAATTCAATTCCTTGTAAACTTGAGTGGTCGTACCAAATCCCTCCTTTGTTAAAGTACGAGAATCGAGGAATTGAATGCGCGTTTCCCGGTTTCAACTTGTTCCACTCAATCTTTGCTACGATATGATCTTCAATCGATCTATGATCTTTTCTGCGAGACTATACTAAAACAAGTGCCTGTAAGTGAAATCATTTTCTAGGATGGTTTCGAATTATTCACAGTTGCCTGAACTTGTATCAAAGATTCTTTATTCGTAGATATTAAATAGGTCTTATATACACTAAGGGAACGTTTTAATTAACAGTAATAAAACGGAATTAGCTTATGGGCATAAACGGGTTATGTACAGGTGCATATACAGATTTACATAGATACTAATATTTAAGTGGGGTAGAACACAGTTTTAGTTTTCTATATAAGTGAATAGTCCGTATCAAAGCTAGGACTTCTGAACGCAACGGATGTATGATGCCTTATTATTTATTTAGTGACTATTATGTCAAAATACGTCAATAGGTATTATTAATTGAAGTAGGTCAAACTAAATTAGAAGCCAATAGCGTCACACAGACGACTTTAATCAAGCATAGCCTATATCTTGTCGTATTGGTTCAGTAACCGAGATTTGTGTTATATAGGTGACCTAATATGACACATTGACCCGCGCAAACAAAGCTTCAATTGGGTGGGCTTTGTTGCCACGGACCTAAAAGCTTATAGCAAATTAATTGCTACGTTGACCTCTTGGCATGTTCTTTATGAGTACTTTATAATTGTAAAGTACTCGTAAGCCTATTATGGAAAACTGTTTTAATTGTATTGTGGTAGTGGTCGAGTGGGTAATTATTAACCGTAAAACAAACAAAGAAAATGTTAGACCAAAAGTTACAGCGTGTGTCGATACACAAATATCCTGTTTACGTATCTCCTATAATTTCTATAAGAAATTAAAGCAGATAAAATCTATACCCAAGTACTATTAATTATATATGCGGCCCATCGTATTTCAATCCGCGAAGCGACGAGATTAACTTTAGGATAGGTCGGGAAATCAATGCTGTAGTAAACACAGGTGACGTGGGCGTTTCACTCCAAATACTTACTACGTACTAATTAACGTAGCTAATAAATTTAAATCAATCAGATATGCCATTTTAGAATGTGTAGTAGTGTTGTAATCTCGGACATTAATGGTCTATTATAATTAGAATATAATATTGTTTATCTTTATTTATGAGAAGTAACAGGAGCGGTTGTTGCGAGTTGTAAATTTTTTCAATAATACAAAACAATATAATAATATAATTATCATCTCATCTAATAATATAATTTTCAAGTAGCCTACCTAGCCAGTCTGTAAAATAAAAAAAAACCTTGATTTAAGTTACGTCGCATTAATTAAAATAATTACTTAACTGCGGATTAAGTTGTTTTGCTGTTAATTCAAAGTGGTTGTGTTTTCACGTATTACGTCCATTTTTACTTTTCCACATCGCAAAAGCAATAATATTAGATTGTAAGTGTATTTACTATTTACATATCCTCCTTATAGAATGTATTTACAATTGTGCACGTACTATTGTGAAATAAGCTTACAGCGAGAATGTGGCTTTTCACTAATTAGTTGTAAGTCAGCTCAGTATCAGTTTTTAATATGATATTAACTAAATTATATAACACTAAAACCTCAAATAGGTATTACAATAATTTATTTTAATAATACAATATTTAAAATAGTGTATACAGTAATTAACCTGATTGTAATCACAATAGCAAATTATTAGGTCATAAGTGGCGTTAAGTGGATTGTGCGCTCGGGCTTTAATACTAAATTATTCTATTACAGTCTTATATTACACTTATAATTACATTTCTGCTTTAATGCAACCATCGTTAATGGATAATTTATCAATAGCACTAACAGCTGTCACCTTAGACCTAATTGAAATCTCAATGCCTTATACTTCCCTTAACTAGTCCTTAATCGGAAATATTCGATGCGAATGCATCGTTCTTTAGATATAAGGCAATACAGACAAGTTAATGGTCGACTTTGAGCATGGCTTTGGAGCTTTAAATTAATTGCTAAACATTTGTTATCATTTATATATTTTTAATCAGATACTTCTCTGTCCAAACTGTTTTTAATTTATCATTGTAAACAGATTATATTCATGTATTTACATGTTTAATCACATTTTTGTAACCTCAATAACGCCAAAACCTATTTTTATAGTATTATAGCATTATTTAAGATATCTTATTAATGCGAGTATATCATAGAAGTGAAGAGTCTCATTTGTTGAATTTTCAGTTGAAAGAGACAAGCACAGAATAACATAATTCTAGTACCCGCGTGCTATACCTTTTAAATTTAATTTACCATCCCATCATTTTAGTTTTAACTCTTTCTCCATATTTACTGTATTAAAGTTCAAGATATCCCGAGAGTCTGATATATTTTTGTATTATATTTGTAAGTCTTTGGGAACAAGGTTTTGTAATGTGGATATCCTTAATAAAACGTTTAAATTATTTATGCAACCGTTTTTATTTTGGTTTAATAAAAATATTGTCTATAATAACTTTACTAACTAAATTTTAATCGTCTTATCATATTGGTTTGGTGACCTGTTTT